GATAATGATTTATTGATGTGAAAATGCTACCCTCTATGCACCTTTGTCATGCAAAAATGCCCATCTTGGCAGCATTGGTGTTGGCTATAATTATGGATTGAAATGAATCGAAAGAATGGACTGAAGCTACAAAGAGAAGCAGGAATGGGAGCGCTGCCCACCAGAGGACAGATTATCTGGTCGTTTTGTTGCAGCCCAACTGAAAACAAGGGACAGAGAGAAAGAAGAGGCTGGAAATTCAGATTGTTGCTTTTTAGAGATGATTGGATTTTGTGAGTTCATCCAAAATACCATAAGATACTCTTACCTGTAATGGTATCACGGCACGCAGATAGCTTAGTTTTATTCGTCCAGTTTTTGAGATATCTGTATTTTGGTATTACAGTATAAAAGGGGGTGTCTGTGGTGCGCACCACTCTGACTTACAGCTTTGTTTTATGAAACAAAATGTACAGAAATGTGTTTACTCTGGATAATCCACCAACCTCAGTGTGAAAAGCTTTCATAGGAACCACTTCTGCTGAGGATTAACCGTAAAGTCAGGGGACTCCCGAGGGACAGATGTTTAACAGATGGGCAAAATTGATCAAAGGCCCCGACTTTTATTCTCTAGAATGGGTCAAGCTTCAAAAGCACTGGATTCATAGCTAAAGCTACGTTCACTCTGCACAACTTGTCTTATAACTTGTTGTGTTTTTCACACTATGACCGACCAGCGACAGCGGGGTCACACACTACCAGAACTTTTACCAGGAGGAATCCCCGATGAGTATTCCTGGGCTCCAAACTACGATTTGTCACAAAAACACAAGCGAGAAGTGACACGATTAAACGATGTAAGTGATACCATGCATGTACATGTTCACGAAATAGCCTGCTTTGTTTATAGCCCGTTTCCTCTTGTGTTGCAAAAAGCATACACGGTAAAGTTACTATTGTTACAGGCGACTCCTCCCCAGGTTTCCCATCAAGTCCAGTTATTTAGCTACATATCTAGAATCTGTCCTTTGAACAGTTCACACATGGAGCTTGAGAGGCGACTTGCAAGCGCCGAGCCAACACCGATTTGTCTCTGATCGGGCCTTTTGTCAGGGAGCTCCTGACAGCAAGTGGAAAATCAGGGCTTTAGTCGTGTAGCGTTAACACGGCATAATGCAACTTGACAGCGTCTTTCCTTAGACCCCCCTCCCTCCCCCCAATGTCTCTGAAAGTCCATACTTTTTGTTAAAAAGTTGTAGTAGCCCAAGTTGAGCTGTTTTCTCAGACTTTGATAGCCTCAAAGTCACAGAGGACATTCTACAACTGTTTTCACAGGCTGAGCAGCACCCCTCATGGCTGTGTGCCCCTTTAAACGTGGCTTATATTCCATATATGTACAGGGTCTTTCCCTTTGCCATGCAAACATATTGCAGAAATTAATAACTTGTTGCCTGAAATCTTGGCAGTGAATGTTAAAAAATAAACCCAGTCAATTGATGTAATCCCGGTTTTGCTGAATCAACAATCGTGTCTGGGAAATGGGATGCATCCAAAGTAACAGGGACACTGGCTCTGTTTTTTTGTAATTTGGGTGAACCGAGCCTTTAAAATACAGCGAGAACAGAGAGAAGTAGAGACAGACAGAGAGCGATTCGAAGGACATCAACTCGATGTGAATGATGGTGTGTTCGAGGCCTCGCCCAGCCGTCCTGACACCACACAACACCAATCAGTCATTATTGGAAGGGCACACACAGTCACACACACAGTCACACACACAGTCACACAGTGCTCATCTCATCATGGTATGGTGCACGTAGTGTGTGTGTGTGTGTGTGCGTGTGTTAGAAAGAAGAGACTTCTGCTGCTCACCACTGCTTCTCTGACAGCTTCACTGACAGTAAAAAGAAAGCAGCAAAGAGAAGGAGAAGGGAACGAGGGCGACACAGATGTAGAGAGGGTGTGTGCGAGGGAGGGAGGGAGAGAGAGAGAGAGAGAGAGATAGAGAGAGAGAGACGCCTTGTATCAAGAAAGTGACAGTGAGGGACCGCTGAAAAAACAGAGAACAGAGAGGGAGTGAATGAATGAGCGTGTGTGTGTATGTGTGTGTGTGTGTGTGTGTGTGTGTGCATAAAAATAGCTGGAGCGACTGCGAGGATACTGAGAGGCTGATGGAAGCAGCAAAGAGAGAGACTGACGGAGAAAGAGAGAGCAGTAGGGGAATTAAAAAAACCACAGAAGAAGAGGCGAGAAGGCTTTGCGGCTGAGTTGGAGTGCAGGCTTGGGGGTAGAGGACGAAGCAAAGGGGGGTGGTGGTGGTGGGGGGCAAGAGGAGGGGACTGGAGAGCGCAACAGGAGAGAGGGGAGAAAAAGGAGGCACGGCTGACGAAACGGAGGGAGAAATCCGGAAAGAGGATTTAGATAGAGAGAGGGGGGAGACGGAGAGCGAGAGAGAGTGCGGGAAAGGGAGTGGTAATTGAGAAGAATGAAA